TCAAGAGCAACGAGAGAAATGGAGAATTGCAAATCCCATCAATCAAAAAAACAGCTACAAGAAACCCAGCTTCAGCAGAGCAAAGAATAATATCAATAATAGAAGGATGACTTTAATGCAGAAAGGAGCGAGAAAGTATTCGACGATAATAGCAAAGAAGTGATGGAGGCGTTGAAATCTCAAATCCTGCTTTCCATCAACTCACGCCCACCTCCACACTGGCCTCCACACACCACCAGTATTATAAGTCTCAAGTCCAACCCCCATGTTATTACGACCACACGGTCCACTCGCAGAGGTGCCTCCGAAGCCACCGCTCATGGCAGATCTGCTATTAATACGGGCCGAATCTGGCACTGTGGTCGACGACACTGCAGACGGATCAACACGACCACCGCTCTGCAACAGCAAGTTAATGGCAGCAATAACGTCCAGTGACTCGCCCGTGTCCGTGCATTTCAGCGCCCATTTGGCATCCGCTTCACTGAAGCCCAGCTCCTTGACCATCTTGTACATGGCCACGTCAACAGGGTCGAGGATTAGGGAAGTGTGCACGGCATAGCGGCCGCGGGATATTTTCTCCTGAACGGACTCGTAGTTAATGCAGACTTGCTGCGATTTTGGTGGGTGTTTGGGTTGTTGGTGAGGGTTGACATGCAAAATCGATGACGATAATTGGGTGGCATCACCTTGTGGTGGTGGTGTGGGAGATTCAAGGGTTAGGTTTGGCCGAGGAGGAGCAGAGGGAGGGACGGGAGGTTGCGATTTCCCCTTGATAAGAGTGGTATCAGAAACAATGGGTGTGTTTTGAATACTAGAACAAGCTCCTGGCGCCGATCTTAGTACTGTATCAACTGAAAGAGGGAAGAGTGTTGGAATGATGGGAACTTGGCTAGCGTTTCTATCGGCGGGATCATTACGACCGTCCAGTCTCTCAATAACGGCTGAGAAGTTGGAGATTGGCCTCTCTTCCTTGAAGTTTGTCGCTGAAGGTACAGCATTTTCACCAATTGACAAATCAGAACTTTGCGATGCGTTGCGCTTCCGGCGCAGTTCAGCAGCGAAGCCAGCCTGTCGTCGACGATTGGGGTTGGTGTGTTGTGATGACATTGAAGATGAGGAAGACGATGAGACATTGCGAGTGTGGCGTCCATGTCTTAACTTAGAGTTAGGGGAATATGGCGCTGGTGAGTTAGATTTGGGCGTTCCGGACGAGATGGGGGTTTGTATGGTTGCTATTCTTGACTCATAAACTTGGGAAACGGCTTCCTTGAAGAACGACCTTGGAGGGCCACCCTGACTTATGTCTGGAGCTGTCCATTTTGTCCACCCGTTAGATTGCGCTCTTGCAAATAGTGTTTCAATAGAGGCATCTGGGTTGATGCTAGTGAGAGCAAGGATAGCGGAAGGCCCAAGTGTGAGAATATACTGAGTCCAGCTTTCTGTTGTTTTGTGTGAGCAAGACTGCAAGACTGCATCAAAAAGCTAACTTCAAAACACATGAAAATTCTCGTTGCTTACCTAGCAGAGATTCTTCTTTATCAACGTCACTAGACTCCACATCCAAGCCATCAAAGATTCCAAAATCGCGAGCCTCCTTACATTTACCATGGAACACTTGCAAGAGAACACCAAGACATGTCCAGATCTCCATCATATCGTAGAGCTCTGTTGATGACAATCCTCCATGATTTCCTTTGCTAAAGCCAGGAGGAGCATTGAACAAAACACTGTGTACTCCCAAAGGATATTGGACGACCATAGTGGTGCCGCAGCTTTCCGCAGCAGCTAGTCGACCGCCATTGAGCCAGTCAACTTGGGCAACGATATCATCTTCCCTACTCTTTCCACAGCCAAATAGTTTGCAGAACGTCCACACTCTCCAGAACGCTTCATCGATCTCAACGCAACGAACTTCATCTAATCCTGCCAGCGCTCTAGTTGTATCAGGTCGAAGGAAATTCTCGCAGCGGACAAGGACGAGAGATTTCAAAGCGACCATAGTGTATAGATCTCGCGTGTAATAATAAATGTACAAATTGGGTGTGTATTCAGGAACCGGCATGTCAATATCTCCTGTTTCGTCGCCCTCTATCTCCCAGGGAGGGCATATCTCACGCAATTCCCATGCCGCCGGGGACATGCGGAACAAAGTATCCTTGATAAGAGTCAATGAATGTTCTTTGAAGACTCTGTAGAAAGTCTTGTTAATAACCGAAAGGTTGAACAAGTCCTCGAGGTTGTCGATTTTTTGCATTATCTGGTATATTATGGATTTTGCTGCCTCACTGGGAATTTCTTGGCAGAGTACGTCCTTGGACCCCGCATATTGGCTGACTCTATATCTGTCGTGCAGGACGAGAGTAGACGAAGGGTTTATCACTACGTTATCGCCATTATTAGAACAACGATTGCGAGAAGGCTCTGGTTGCGACAGCCACGGATCAATCCTGTCGAGCGCTACCATGATTCGTTCCCTAGGACTTTGGTTGTTGGTGTGGTGGTGTTTTTGGTCAGTTGGCGACTCCATCACAATGCTGAGATTCACAGGCCCAGAAACCGGCTTGGCGCCCAACTGTGTGCGCAGACGGGGTAGACGAAGCCTGAGACTGCGCTCGACACTACCTGTCCGCGCCTTGGGACGACTCATTTTTTCAAAAGACTTCGCACCATCTTTGCTGTTGTTGCTGGTATCATCTTCGATATTGACACTATTGCCATTTGCACTATTCTGTGGGTCTGACGGAGGCGGTTGCGGAGGCCGCATTTGCGACTTATGACTCTTTTCAATCGCCGCAGTGCCAAATGGCACCACCTTAATCTTCTCTTTACCTGTCCAACTCTTCTTCAACGACAATGTGAATGAAGCGTGTATCTTCGTGTCCAGCGAAGATGCATGAGGAGACAAAATGGAATGCGAAGGTGACCCTCTCCAGGACGAGTGCTGTTTCAGTGCTCTTGATGAGCTAGCTATGGGATTCCCAGAAATTGAGGAGCGTTTCCGTCCCAATTTCAACCAGAGAGAGCTGTCATATTTAGACCCAGTTAGAACAGAAAGCTGTTCCTCCAAATCAAGTGTAGCCGTGCGCAGGGATGGGGAACTGGATTTTGTACTGGACTTCGAAGCTCGGCTAGAAATCGATTTTGTGAATACGTTGCGTGGATTATGTGGTCCACGATGAAGGCCTGAACGGCGGAATGCTTCGTCTAAAATATCGAGATCAGATGGCCGTGGAGCTAAAGGCAGGAACTGTGGTTTGCTAGTCGGTTGGATTAACCGGCCAGCGTGAGGAGAGAGCCCCATGGACGCTCGTGAGGTGCGGCGGATCGATAGTGGAGGGATGTTTATCGTTGGATCAGGAGGGAGTGGCTTATCTCTCGAATACCTGTTGCTAAATTTTTTCTTGAACGTTGGATTGCGCTTCAGATTTGGTTCATCGTCAAACACTCCAGCAGCAACGGGAGATAGTAGCGAATAAGCCCTGCTACCTCTAGAAACCTCTGATGTGTCTACTGCGTCGGATTTGTAAGGGATATCAATTGAGCATACACTTGATCTAGAGGAAGACGGACTATTGGGAGGTGAGGTTCTTCCATCAAAATCAGAAGAGGTGGATGAATTATCAGTTTTCCGAGTTCGGACCACGGACAGGGCCGCTTCGTTCTTAAGGATATTTTCAAAGGACGGAGGCACAAAAAAATACTGAGGCTGGGGCATGTCTATTGGCAAAGTTGAAACAATGGACAAACCAGCGGCAAAACTCATATCTTCAGAGAAAGCAGGGGTAGTTTGCCGCTGAGAGGAGCTGATAATTGGCGTTACGGTCCCACTGGTAAATAGCCCATGAAAGCCATGTTGGGTGTCAATATTGGAGACCTTCGAGGCTGACCGATCCCGTCCAGGATGATTGGGTGGCTGGTTAACAGCAGGGTAGTGGGTTCGACTGGGATCTGAAGTGTGCCTTTGATGTGCCAGTATCGATGACGAATTCTTTGCTTGGGGGATATTTATGGAGTTTGGCCTACCAGACATAGAGTTCAATGGCTTTGTCTTTTTGTCAGGGACAGGCGTTCGTGTTGACATCTCATCAGGGAGCCGTACACACTCCAAAGCATGTGCATCTGGGAATTCAGGAGAATGTTGTTTCTGAGTCCACTCCAACGAGGTATATACAAGCGAATGAGTGGGCTGTTGTAGCCCACCAGCCTCTGGTCTGTTAACCCGTTGAGAATTGACTCGCGTATCCATGACTAACATGTCAATGGACTTGGATTTCAGAAGGCTGGTTGATTTAGTCTTGCGCTTCGAAATGACGTCTTCCGGTTTCGCCGATGTAGGAAAGCTCTCTATCGAACGAGATGCACGCATGGGCCATCTCATTTGCAGCATAGGCAATATAGAACGAGATTTCCTTTCCTTGGTCTTTATCTCAGGAGGGGACCCGAAATCACCGGCTGGGCGAAGGTTAAATGACATGGTTATCGTTTAAAAACCGTGCAATTCCACGCCCTGTTTAAATAGGGTTGTTAAGTTTTAACATTTCACTTTACACAAATAAACAAAGCATATTTTGTGACTGTGGAAAAGGCGAAATAGTGGGACCAAAAATTGCAATGAACAAAGAGATTAAACTGTTTGAGCAAAATAATAACTCATAGTAAGCCATCGCAGGGGATTATGAGCCTTTTGCAAACATACCTTCTTGATCCAACAAGGCGAGAAAGGGAGTTCGTTGCTTGAGGATATCTGGAGAAAGAATTTTTTTTAATGGCATCCAAAAGATCGCAAATGCCTTGGTCTGGAATCAATGGATTTATCAGGAATTTCTCCCTTAAACAAAGAATAAATTCCAATCACGCATGCGTAAACAATGAAATGGGAATATGGGTTAAAATTTCCTTTACTCCACTAAATTCCCTTGTCTTCTTTTCCACATTCCAAACTATTACCGTTTGCCTTCGCTCAACCAGATACGAGTTTGGCATGTAGTAAGCAGCTCATGTCCAGCAAACGTAATGCAGAATTACTTCAACGGCTGCAAAAGGAGGATACCCCTATAGGGGGCAAGACTGAGAAGTCAACGAGTGGAAGAGCCGGAGAAGAGTGGTGGGTTGAACTCTGTTGTATATGTATTGTTCAGAGTATACTAAGTGGGTTGGGACGGGAGCAGGCGCAGCACCTACTAAAATACGGGGTCCACTCAGAACGGGATAAGCAGCTAACCCGGTAGGTTAAGTGATCAAAATAAGAGAAAATCCTGCATACATATAATTACCACTCACTCTCCCTGGATTTTCGAAAGCGGTTATGGGAAAGCGGGATTTGATCAAATCGTTCCAAGCCCCACCCCCCCCCCCCCCCCCGGGGGATTCCGCCAAAATCAGACCACCGTAAAGCCCAACCAAGAGAGAGAGGGAGCACAGAGAGTCATACAGCTGACCCAAGCCTGTTGAAAATGCACGTAAGGGCGCCCAGCGCCAAGAGTGCCTGCGCAAGCTCCACGATCGCTAACCAGGTGAACCCGCACACCATGCCCCTGTTGGCATATCTCGGGTTTGTGGCTTGTTCAAAACCGACCCCAGTGGTGTTAGGGCCTTGGTATGTTGAAGAGCAAGCCAATTCACCAAGTGTAGCTCTGCCTACTGTTGGTCAACCTGGGAATCGAAAGGACGGCAAGAGAGTGTTGAAGCCTTGCGGCGCTCGATCACTGCGAGTTCGAACTAACAAGATACATAATGCGTGGTTGAGGTTGGCTCCAACTCGGTAACTAAAATGGTCATCCGTAAAATTAGCCAAGTATTCTGACGAACCTGGCGGGGTATAAAATAGCAGCCGGATGCCCTAGCACTGTCATCAATCACGGTGCGGTTATGGCCGTTTGTGATGCCGAGATTTAACGGGGGTGAGTGTTAAAAATAAGCAACCCAGCAAAGGTAACATTATGTATGCTGGTGATGAAAACATGAAGTCAGACTATCATAGATCCCTTCCGCAGGCAGACCGTGTTTCCGAGTTGACGACAATTATCTGGTGAAAACGTCGTTTAATTCACACTGGTCGCATGTTTAAGGCTGGAGGAAGCTGACGGAGGCTGGAGCGTTTTTCAAGATCTCGCCAATTTTGGTAAACGGAGTGACTAATAGCTACTCTGCACTTCTTGCAACCAAGCAACTCGCAAACAAAACACGAATATTACCATCAGGTAAGAATTAAGTACCAGATGCTTCTCAACAACAAACGGCATAATTCCAATCTATTTTAGAATGGGACCCTGACTTCAGATTTATACTTCTTTTTCTTGCTTATGCGTGCCCTTTCCCGCATCCAGCAACTCTGAACTTTCAGATCATTCAACGCCTCCTCTCATCCGCGTACAACATCACGTTTTTCTTGCCACAATGCAAATACATCGACCCGCGGGAGTTCAATAGAAAATTGATATAATACCGGATACACATATTAGGGAGATAGCCTTTAGCTTTTAACGACGTTGTCCATGTCGTTCCCTAAGTGGTTATCCGCTATAGTCAACAGATATATGAAAAGTAAATTATTATGTTACTTATCCATCCGGACTCGGGAATTCCAACAATTTTGTGTTTGATGGCACCCTCTTTTGTGGTCAACCAGCGTAGTATTTTGATGGTAGGGCCGTTATTTCAACCCAGGTTCAAAACGCAGCTTTTGAACAGAGTAACGTAGTTATTAGAATGCCGGTGTTTGGGCAAACACAACAAACAAGCCGGCTTCTTCAAGAATCCGGACACCCCAGAAGTCGTAGTCGAGGCATCATCCACGATCAAACATCCACTACTTTAAGCATGCATGTTTAACAAAATGTCCATGTTTCTTGCTGGTTTCTTGTTTTGGTCCTTGAAGCAAATTGAGAGTGGAACAGTGCCGCCCCTGTGTTCAGGCTTTGCCAACGTTGATTCGTGTCTGTCTATCATAAAGCAGAGGTAATAACGTATCGGCAATAACTCAAGCATTTTCCAAGGCCAATCGCAACTGTCCATAGTCTTTGATTCCGATGGAATTCTGAGGTTTCCTGAAAGGTAACTTGGAGGATGTTTCTCCCCCTTCGTTTTGGATCAGCCTGAAAAGTTATTTTTCGTATATCTATGACCTGTTTCAGTACATGAAATTCCCGCTTCGGTCTCCCTAGCTGCCAGTCGGTCGTTTTGATTCAGCGGTGATTTTGATCATTGCTAATAGGAAATCAGGTAGGAGAAATGTGACCGCCAAATGAGGGGCCTGCCTTACCAAGGCCAATTACAAAAGTATTTGCTGTTTACATGTACTTGTCGCCGTTTTATCTTGGAATGATCTTCTCGCGAAAACGGGGATAAGGCCCGAACGTGAAACTCTGACAACTCTATCGGGATATAAAACAACTCCACCCCTCACTATTCCACCTGTCTGGGGTCTTGGATACGATACTGGAAGAGGCGGATCACAAAACGAAACCACACCTACTTGACGCCCACGTGGGAATTGAGTCAAACGCGCGAAGCGGGGCCTCCATTTTCATTAGAACCAATGGGGATAAAATAGCGGCTGGCTTTAGAGGCGAGATAAGTTGGCAGTTAACGTTCGATGGCAGAATGTCAATACCCCACCTACATCTCTCTGGGACCCGCAACGCGTTTAGTAAAACACTTGGGATTGGATCAATGATTTACCGCATCTGGGCTAATAAGGGGATATAATACTTGAACTTCAATGGCTCTCTGTGCGAGTTTCTTCATAAATTAACCCACTTTTTACCCAATTTATGCACAAATTTTCAATCAGAATCTTGACATAATAATTTCTTCTTCGACACATCCCAGTTGAGCCCTATATACACAAATTACCGCAAGAGGAAAGATGGCAAGGGGTGGAACATCTAGTTTATTCATCAGTATCCCTGGAAACCCTTAAACTTTCTTTGATTTGTCTAGACAACTTAAAGTAATTGAGCTAAGCAAGGATTGGCCAAACCTTAAACATCTTGAAAAGACTAAATAGATGTGTCCCCCACCCTGGTCATAGATCAGCGGAGCGGTCGTGTTAGCTTGCTTCGGCTCAGTTTCTAGCAAGGCCGAGGATTTATTTATAGGCATCCTTGCAACACAACAAGGCTGTGAACCCGTAACACAGAGATGGAAAGTTCATCTTTTACCAAGTCAGAGAGATATCATGGGACGCATATGGGCTGTGCTTGATACATGGTACAGTAGGTGGTTGGGGGGAGGATACTGTTCGATGCATGCGATGGTATGAATCCATGAATCGCAGGAAATGAGCGATGTGAATGATTTTGTCCTGGATAAATGTGCTTGTGGAACATAAGGCACACACATATATTATTCAGTATCTGCAGGTTTGAACCGTGCAAACGCCTTGAAGAGGATATGGCAGATTCCGTGCCGCATGCAAAGGAAAAAAGAAGGATAATACCAGCAATTTTTATATCACTTCAACCAGTAAGTCTGTGGAGAACAGCGCAAAAGAAGAAAAGACAAAAGAGACAGAATCGAACACACTATCCTCTTATGCTCACCTGGGCAAAAAGTGTAGTATAAAAGGGTGGCTCATGTGTCATTGGGTAAGAATAGTCGAGGCCTGATTGAAGAGGGGTTGAATGCAAGGGCAACATACATGAACATGCATATTCATACCCACGGAAATTTGCATGTCCCAGGCATACCAGGTAAGGTAAGCTGATCTCCCAGATCCCACCTATCCCAGTAGAGTTATATTTATACATTAAAAAAAAAAAAAGAAAATATGTGGCACAGAAATACGCCTACAAAGGCAGCATGAAGGAGATCGAGACCTAACGCAACAATTATCCGTCACCCGGAGACTTCAGCCCAAACCGACAGCTGGAAACGGGATGAGCCACACTACTAGTCAGTTCAATTCAATGTGTGAAGAACTGAATTTCAGCCCCGTGTGCCCCACGGGTTCCGAATGAAACCATTTTACCTGAAAAGCAACGATAACGGAATCGAAAGCTAAAAAGGGCCACCAATGAACCGAACTGGATACAACTTTTCCTGCACTAGACCGCTCATAGTTCATGGGAAATGTGCCCTATGTGCAACGGCGGAACAAAAAGGATCTAATGTCAGGAATTATTTGGTTCCCAAACTAAGATGTATGCACCAGAGCATTCCAAATAAGTTCCCCGCCAGAACTCGCTTCTCTGGTGGAACTACTGTGAAACTTATCACCGAGACCATTGGCCAAAACTTCAGTCCATCTATGATGATGGGAAAGAAATCCTGTTTGTTTAATATTAGCCTTTCCGCTCATCTATTGAAGCATCCCGAACATTGTCCCGTAGTCTGCTGCCTACTGGGCTAGCGTGAGATCCGGACAGGTGAAAAGTGTTTCGGGAGACAGTCGTTGATGCGTTACATATTTGTAACAGACTTGTTAAAAAAACAAACCACGGAAGAGCATAACCTACTTTCATTAAGGATTGTTTGATTGCAGTGGTATCTTGTCCATGCAAGACAGAGATGGTTACTATAAACAAAGCTGAACTCCATGCCGCCCCAAGTGTCTGGTCTATCAGAATTTTGATAACGGTATTTCGAATATTCAATTTCTGAGTGGATTTTTCTTCTGCGTTACTCCCCGGCTGATAACTTTCGTCCAAGTTGCCTGCCAGGCTTGTAACCCTTTTAGCCTTGCCTGCAACTGATTTCAGATTGCTAGGAGAGTTAGAATTGGAAGATCCTGGAAACGTAGCTTCGAGCTGATCCTGCCAGAGGACCATGAGGGGGTTTGTGATCATCGCGCATGCCATAAAGCGGATCAACTGAATGGGGTCAATGATGAGCGGAGACTATTGTTCGATGTGTACAATTTTACAGAACAATCATTTGGGTTAGCTATCGGATAGTGTTTTGGGTAGTTTCCATTTTCATACTAGTGAAGAAGTTTAGGAGCATCAAGATTGAAAATAATCACTTTAGGATTGTTTTGGGTGGGAAGCACAACTTTGCCGGGGGGGGGGGTAAATAAACATGAGAGCTGGACAGGGAACGCCAAACGGAGATAGGCGAACAACACAAAGAGGAATACACTAAGCTTTAAATGACGGTAATCCCGGAACCTTCCAAAAGAAAATCGACAACTGGTTCAAGAGTTAAAAAAACGTACCCCATGTTTGTAGGCCGATACTACTTGCGCTACCACGTTTGAACTGCCATTCATGAGAACGGGCCCCAGGGTTGACTTCAAGACGGTAGAGATTGAGGTTGGAGACATGATGAGAGGTTTGACGTTGAAACGGGCGTGAGAACAGCTGGTTGACCGGAACCCTTTGTCTCAAGCAACCTAAACTTGTTCAAAAAGCTTCGTTGACAGATCCCTTGAGAGAGTGGGAGGGATCAGTTTCAAAGGTTACATAGCGGAACAAAAGTTGAAGCCAAATTCAGACGCAAACCTTTGCAGCAGATCTTCAAACAACTCACCAACCGCGTGGGAGCAAGGGTTGAGTCTGTGTTCGACGCAAATTTGAGTTGGCTAAAGCAGAATTCCCTTCCAGCCACATGTCAGGAATCAGCAAGCATCGGATTTAAGAGTCGCCAGGCAGGGGATCCTGGTCTGCGACAATTTTGCGGCATTTATGGATTCACGAAGAATTCTAATTCCCGTGCATGTAGTTACCTGGGCAGTACATTAACTATGGGTTTAATATATACCCCTTTGTCTCTCGAGGCACTTTCTCCAATTCTCCACAGTTGCATACAACATTCCTCAGACTAGCGAAAGTAACTAGCTGATAACAATATAAATTTAATATTGAGGGGAGAGTGGGGTGGTGGGTAGGGGGTGAGAAGCTCGCCGCGTTAGCGAATTGAAGATTCCGGACATGGCTGACCAGGAAATGTAGCTATGAACTTGTCTCAGCTCGCCGAATACTTCGTAGCTCCACAGCGACCACTATACGGCATAAATGCATTGAGAGATCTCCTAAGCCACGGTATAAGACAGCTATCGAACCGCACACAAAAAGATCAGAAAATCAAATGTTTTACAATGCCCTTAATTTTTTCGTCTACAGTTGCCCCATTCTAAATGGACGAAGATTTCCGCCGGGCGCTGCAATTGGCCAACAGGTTAAACACAACGTGCAACTAGGCCAATAGTGGATGAGATTTGTCTGAATCACTTCAGGACAAGCAAAACCTATTACCCCAAGGTCCTTTGTGCCATTTAGAGACCCTGACTAATACTTCTTCCATTGGTGAGAGACTAGAAGATATATGTCTGGACCACTGCGGGGACCGGAAAAACGAGATTATGAAGAAGAACCTGAGGTAAAGGTACCAAAGATATATAAGATTCGAATAAATTATGGATATACGGAGTAGTTACCCAGGCACTCGGAAAAGTGTCCAATGTACTAGGGTGGCATGGTTGGTGCCAGCATAGTCCAAATGTAACTCGCGAAAACCATTCATATTGCTTCCCTAAAAATTGTTTCCGGTTGGCATGATTCAGTATGTGGGCGGCCATCTTTGGAATAACAATGTGACCTGAATATGTACTTTGAGAACGGGGTGTCAGTGGGTCGTAGGGACATTAAGATCGTCTGCTTCCTGTCGGGGCGACTTTCTAGCTCCACATTTCTACGTTTCAGGCGTTGATTTGTTCTCCGAAGTCCAAATTTCCATCAAACGATTCAAGAACATTGCTTTAACCTCGTGGTGATTCACCCCTGTCGCAGTAGAGAACGAGTGTGGTACTCCGTTTCATCCGCAGTGTGTCTAGCGACGTGCCATTATCTCTTCATAGACCTTCTTTAATTTAGAATTTCGTGTCAATTAACGTTACCACCATCCCCAACCCGACGATGTGACAATCGTAGCTAACTAGGAACGGCAGATAGAATAAAGATAAAACAATGTATACTCGCTCATCGGGTCTCGTGTCGTCTGAAACTTCTCTCCCCAGAGGAATAACGAACAAGAAAATGAAGGTGAAACGAAGGCGAAACGAAAGGTGAAAACGTAATCTGGAAGTTGAACGCCTATCGACAAATCTCCCTTTGGCCATTCTCCTGGAGAGGTTTCCCGCATTGGCTTGAACGATGTCGTTGGACGACGTACAAAGGTAAAAACACACTCGTTCCCATCGAGCTTATTTATATATATATATATATATATACAAGTATAACTATTACGTAGCGTATTTCACCACTAACTCCACACTCAGACTCTTTTCTTTCTGTCTACCGTTTCTTAGGGGTCGAACGATTCAAGAATGTTATTAAGCTACCAAACTGAGTACGAAGTATGATATACTGTCAACGAAATGCGTTCGTCCCGTTTATTAGCTTATTTTTGTCTTCGATAATCAAACTCCTCCATTTCAGATAAACCGAATTTGAAGATTTCTATTCTATATTATATTTGTCTCCGGATCTTATCAAGCTTCGTCATATCCGGGAGTGCCGAGAACGGCCCCAAAATCACCCAAAGACCAGAGGGCTCTCACCAATCAAGAGGGTCCTTGACCCTTGTTTTAGTGAGACCCTTTGAACAACCGGCGTCTTCAACAAAGGCTTCGAGCTCTTTGCATACTAGACAGAAGGTGAAACAATAAGCATTTACAATTTCAATGCCACAGCCGGGAAGTATATCATGGCCTTCATGTTGAGGACCGAGGCAGGCGTGTGAAACAAACCTACATTCATTTGCTCGCTTGTATTTGTCGCTGGTGCTTGACAGTCGGACAGTTGGCCAGATTTCTTCCCCCTGAACCCGCTCGAGCGTAAGATGAGATTTTAAATTTGAGAGGATGAGCTCTTGCAGTGCGTTGTCATGCAAACGGGCTTTTGGATAAAAGCCAGTCAGTATTCTAGCCTGATGTTCTTAAAGGTGCTTGGTGTGCTAGAATTCATGGGATACATACCAACCATCCCATCTCTGAGGCTGAGTTGATTGTCACAATCGGTTTTGCAGCTTCGATAAAGCACCGTCAGCTCTAAAGCAGTGCTATATGACTCCTACCAGCTCTCCTGGGTGCCATACCTTCCAGGGGCATTCAATGTTTTGTAAGCAGTTTCCAATTTTGCTATCTCCGATACAAACCAAGGTTTTACATCTGCTACCACCGCATGGTTTCTGTCTGCGTTCCGTACTGCAAAGCGTTCGTATATATCACAGCGGATGGATGAGCGGCCTACGTTCATTGGCACTATTGAAACAGAAAACCAGATGCCTCCTTTTCCGGTAACATGGATTGAAGTTGCAGGGAATACATCCAGGTTGGTGTATCGGTATCCATTTTGATCCCTGCTGCTGACACTAAACATCGATTGGAGAACTGAACGTAAATTTCCCGATTCTTGGTTCGTTCTTGCTGAGGAGTGATTATTGCCATGCATGTCCAGGACTGAACCATGATCAGCTCTCTTCTTGGTTTTTTCAATGCCTTCCTAGTTCCAGAAGGTTCCTATACTGCAAGGACCTTGATGGTTCCAGACTCACCAGCCAATTTCCAATTGAATCTCCCTTCAACCTCCCACCCATCAATCCGTGAAGACCTCTGAGATATTTGATTCGCATTCGCAAATCTGTCGATGGCATGAACCTCAAGGTCAGGCTCGGCCACGTCATTACGAGAATCCAAATTCACAAATATAAAACCATGTTTCGTTATCCTCGTGTGGATCTCAAACAGACTGTTCTGAGACTTGTCAAAACCTTCCAAGCATTCGAACTGTGGCGCTTTGATCAAGTAACCTTGAGTATCATAACTCCAGCCATGATATCTGCACCCCATCACAGTTGTCGATCCAGATTTCTTCCTTGAGATAACCGGATACGCTCTGTGTCTGCAGACATTGTGAAAAGAACGGATGATGCCATCTTTCCCTTGAATGAGGAAAAGGGGGAAACCGCATATTTCGAAAGCGTGATAGTCTCCCGGTTTGACGAAGCGACTTGTGTGGGCGATGAACAGCCATGCCTGTTTTAGTCTTGTTACCTCATCAGTTTTCCTTTGGCTGAGTGGGACAAGACTTCATCTAGCGATTCTTCCCCAATATTCCAGCCGTCGTCACGTTCAACATCGTTGGGATATTTGCGTTTGGGATAAACCGAACACATCCAGGCAAACTGGTGGAAGTATGCATTCCCTACCTTACTGAAGATCGCCCGTCTTTCCAATCGAAACACCTCATCCCCCGTCCACCAGCCCTCGGGGAAATCAGATTCTTTGGAAACGTTTATTGAAGACGATTCCCTAATTTCCGTCGCATCCCAATCCCTGATGGTGGTAACAGTTGCCGGCTGAGCAATCTCTATCAAGAACGAGTAGAGAGAGCCAAGCGGACGAGCCACTGACCATGACATTAAGGATTTCCTTGATAAATTGCCATCTATCCGCGTCACTGCGAGTATGACAAGGAGAATAATCGGGATTGAGCCGAGGACGTATGTTGTTGATAGTAATGAGGTGAACCATTCCATCATATTAATTCGATAATAACACTCGTGCAGGGTGTTAATACGTAGAGAATGTTAACGGGACGAGGGAATCTTGATGTATGGGTTTTATTGCGAGAACCCCTTCCTGATATTATTTGTTCTTAAGAATTCCAACAAGCATACGACTTGTCATCTAACTAAATAGCGGAAACCAGCTGCATTCCCATTTCACTGCAGATCGTCTTTCGTCCTCCTATCCGTGTTTTCCTTCCGCATGCCTGATTTACTTAGCTACCCTTTTTTATTCCATCAAAAGCATCCTTACGGAGGCGATAAGAGTAATTCCTCCGCCACCCTGTATTTTAAACCCTTACTATCAATCACTAAGCAAACAATGTAATGGATGTACTCTGGATACCAACCCAAATAGTTCGTTTTCCTTCACCATCATCATCATCATCATCATCATTATTATTATTATTTGGACCCAATTCTGATTGGATGCCCAAAATATTTCCCAATCAGGTGAGAATTCCCATTGACCTGATCACTGGCTGGATCCAGCTTTATGAGCTTCGGCAAACAGCCCCCGCATGACCAATTAGTTAACTAGTTAGTTACTTAGTTGGCGAGGTGATTTTAACTCGGGCCAGCAGGCCGCAACGACTCCCAAGCTTGAACGACAGCTCCTTTGCACATCGTCATTTTGTGGGGCAGGGAAGAGTGCTAGAGAGGGACAGATCACAGCGAATGTGGAGGGTCTAGACTGTCTGGGATAGCTATGGGTACGTGGGACCTGTCAAGTACCATACTTGATACCGGTGGACTACGTACGTGAGTAAAAATGGTGTAATATCTTCCCCTCCGGCTACTTCTCTAGAGTCACTGTTTAAATCCATATGTGTCTTTAGAGAGAGGTATGGTTCCACTACTATAGATAAGGAAAATATGGTTGTATGTAAGTTAACAGTTCTTTTTGAAAGATTTTTATAGCGTACGTAAATATTCCACGAGTACCAAAACAGAGAATGGGCGAGAATGTCTGTCTGCTGACTGGTGGCTAGCTAGTTACAGAGTGCTTCGGCACGATTGGGCCAGGTTTCCGGTTCCATCTTCCACCGCCTCTTCCGAAGCCCTCTTATGTTTCTCAAGCTTGTACTGCTCAGTAACCAGGCCGAAAACGCGGTTTTGATAGTCTGTAATGCGACATCAGCTTCGTATAGACCTTATTAATTTATGAGCCTGACAATTGACTCACATATGACTCCGGTTTCTTTAACCGGATTTAGGATTCCCTCACTATATACACCGTTTTTCAAGTTCTCCTGCGCTCTTTCACAAAGCTCATAGTCTTCCATGGCCACTTGACGAACAAATTTGAAATAATCTTCAAATTTGTGGCCTGATTCGAGGTGGTAGTAATCAAATTCCATCCTAGTAACGTTTGGATCCTCGGTTGGGCAAACGCGGAACGAAGACATTCCCCCACCGTACACGTTCAACGTGCAATTGGGAAAGAAATAGAGGAAAAGTCCATCATTCGGTTTCTTCGGGTCGGCGATGTGTTGAGAAAAGTTCAAGTGATTATGAACCGTATAGAATGTGGGAGGGTAATAGACGGAAAACGAAGGGTGAGTATACTGGCAATGCAAACATTCTTGATACCCGTCCACCCTGTGAATCATATGTTAAAACGGGCGCCAGTTGAGCGTGGGGTGGCAAGACATGCATTGTTTTCCAATTGAAATTCCCTTCATACGTGATACTGCGACGATAAGGGAGCCAGGTGAAGTCCACTCTTGCTATAAGAGGCTCTAGGTCGGGGTAAAACTCATAAAAGTCTGGCGCCTCCTGTGATATCGCGGCGAACAGTAGTCCGGTTGGTGTAAGATGGCTGGGTAATTTCAACCCCTTGACAATTAGGAAACAAAGATCAACACCTGGATGATAACAGAGCGACACTTGTAATGATCCTCACCGTGCCCTCATGAATCACTTCCAACTCTTCGGACGTAGGAAGAGCTGAAATACCATATTTTCTTTGAACAAAAAGACGTTCCTGAGCAATTTCATAGCGAACCTTGGAGTCAACTTCGTTGAAGCGTGTTACCGGACCAAGGAGATACCATGACTATTAGGTTAAATATATAATCCCAGGTAATGTCACGTTTACAAGTGCAAAATGTCAAAAGCTGCGCACCTTCAAAAACACAGCACGGCGCTCAAGATTGTAGAGGGGAAGGCTCCTATACCACGAGGCGGGAAGAGTTCTTTGGAATTTCGCCATTTTGAACCTATTGTTTTAAATATCAGAGAAAACGGATGAAATCCACACAATTAAATAACACGTCATGAGCTTATTACGTGTGTCAAAACTCCAGTTAGGCCCACGTCCATCGACTCATGCGGATGTCAGGGTGAGTTCCTTAAAAGGGTTGTCAAATCCGGTTTAGGTAGGCTCATTTCCACGAGTTAAACATCACTGAACCAGCGATATATAAAGGAAAATATGCGCTAAATGCAAACTTTTCTACTCGATGGTTGAAATGCGTGACCAGAGATCTCCGCTAGGTGGAGAAGCTCAGTCGCGGGACAAAATTGAAGGTCATAACAGCTGCCCATTACCAGTTTTAGGTCCAATGTGGGCAATAAACTGCGTTATTCATTTCTCCAGAACGGGCTATACTTGAAGCTATATCTGGCCGTATGATTTGTTGGCAAGTTTCCTTCACTTCCACCATTCAGGATATTTTTAGCCCCAATCAAGTCGAATTTTTTTAACATCTCAGGGTTGCTCGTCAGGTAGTGTGATTGGGAGGATAGGGACCGCAGAGGAAAGCGAAACTAAAAGCGTTAGTAACTGCTGGATGGGAAAATGAAGTGTCGAGACGACGGATATGACCCCAAAATAGGGGGCTGTAGGGATTAGTAACTTAAGAAATGTTGAAACAACCCGGGTTCAAATCTCAAATTTCATCTGCTAAGTTGGTTCATGTAGGTAGAACAAAATGATTCCATGTCTCCATCTATTTGACTTGCTAATTCCCGCAAGGGCTTCTTGCGGCAGAAGGTGTGTGCAGAAGGCATTTAGTAAGTCCCAGGGAGGATTTCAGGTGCCGAATTCGGTTGAAAAGGTTTTGGCATTCATAAGGGTAGAGAAATGTCTTCGAGAAGTCATCCATCATCTTCAGATTGGGGGTATCGCGGTTATATCTTTCGCATCACGACTCACAGGGGAGAGAATACTCTGCCTCAATGGTAGCACTCCGAGGTGTGCTCAGCGCTGACTTGAAGTGTTGACAGCCTTCTCCTGTGTAGCCTGTCTGCTCCATGGGGGCAACCGGACTCCAATATAAGGCAGGCCACCATGATAAGCATTCTCAATCCTCAGTGATAAAACTCCGTGATCTCCTTGAGATGCCTCTATAACTGTTGTACAAGAGAGTATATCTTCCCTTCCCACAGAAACAAACGCTCTCGTTTGCAGGTGCTACGTCTTATATATAGCAAGGAGCAATGAAACGTCCATAACTGCAGTTCTTCGTGAATTTTGCTAATGAAAATGATCAAGCATGCACGATAACTTTCAAGCCCTGAGACGGTGGGCAGTTTCTTCCACACAACCCATTGGATGTTGGAAAGAGTCGGTCTCTCTAGAGGTCAAACCCCGCCTCACCGATTTGAACATCAGTTATAGGTTATTGATTGTTATTGAATGATGTCTACTTTACATACCTGATATTCAAACGTTTCTGACAATTTGCCTAGCAGAGCGTAGTCTTTGAGAATGTCTATCAACCACGCAGGTTCACGGTTTTGTGAGCATCAACCATGATCAAGTTTAGAGAGTGAAAACTCACCTAGTTAATTGGAGTTTTCCACAGGATTGGAAATGTCCTCCTATCGCATTTCCAATTCTCATGAACATATCCCCTTCGGAACCTTTCATTACAATCCACGGGATTGATCTGTGGATGAACTTCCTCAGGAAGACAAACCTTCGATAGATTGATATCACGTGAGAATTCATCGTTGCGCGCCACATCCCAATATGGACTAGCCCAGCCCTAATACTTACGTCAGTGCCAGAAATCATCCAGGCATCTGCGATATCCGATCGGCTGTTCTAACCGTTTGAATAAACCATCGTCACATTTGCTCATGTTCTAATGGCATATCACCACTGAGATCGAATACCTAGCCTATTCGGTTGAACTGAATAGTTCACCATTTCTAATCCTGTCTATTTCTAGGGTATATCCAACCTTGCAATATGGCGGGGTCATCCGCCCGCCTGACTCCCCCAGCATCCCCTACAGCTTCCTTCTACGATGTGAGCGACGACGAGGAGGGCGAATATAACACAATTACGCACACCAGTACGGGTAAAGGAGTAAAGCTGCTATTCTCCAAAAGCAAGGTATGAATACCTAACCCGTTTGTCTGATGAAATCCAATTGGCCCTGTGTTAAGTTGGGGGGCTAAGCTCTGATATGGGATAAAATCGAACTAACATGGGCTCTGAATTTAGGTCTATGTGCACCCTACACCTTCATCGAAAGATAATATACCTGGTTTTATCGCTCTCATACAACAAAAGCCCGTTTCTCGTGATGAACACGATCATTCCGATTCTTCCTCTCATAGGCCCAGGGCCGACGCATCTTCATACCTGCTTGCTTGGGTTCCAGAGTCTTCTCTGGGAGATGCATATAGCACCTACGTAAAAGTCGATTTGTCCAATAGTAGCTCTCCTCCTCTCCAGTCGTATCTGGTACCACCGCTTCCCACTACAACTTCTGCTCCTGGTTCCATCGGCCTATATGCGTTTGCAGTTCCTCTAAGCCAAATATACTCGATAATAGTTCGCCCGCCAAGTTTGGGTTGGTGGTTTGGTAGCTTGGTTATAAATACAAAAGCCGGTGACAGTTTTCCAGCTCTGTTCTTCCATGACACGGAATGTGAATCAACCATTTTGCAGAAGAAGAAAAGGACAAGGGAGAGTTTTGATCCTTTTGGTGAAGATGGAAATATGTTTTGGGGTG